GGCCGGGGAGCCGGAGGCGCTCGGACGTGGCGAGGACGCAGAGGTGCCTTGTCCTTCTCACACTCCGCGAAGGCCAGCCGCTCGAGTCGCCAGAGTAGTCGTCTCGGTCGCCGCCGCTGCTTCACAGGCCACCTTAGTCAGCCTCCCTGCAGCCCCGGTTTCCTCACACACACACACCGAGAGGGACAATAAACAGAGCCGCCGCCGCCGCCACGGTCACCTCCCTCTTGTCCGGCATAACACCGCACACACACATTTGCACACCGGGGAGAGAGGGAGGGCGCGGCGGCCGCCCCCGCTGTCAGTCAGCGCCATGCCGTCCAATCGGGGCCTTGTCGCCACAGCCTCTCGACCAATCCCAAAATTCCAAGCCCCCTGGAGGGGCGGGACCCGAGGGGAAAACGTCATTGCGGGTAGCAACCGAAAGGAAGACTTGGGGTTTTTGTTTGTGTGTGTGTCTGTGGGTTTTCCATTTGAAGGGAGAGCAGGGGCTGCTGTCAAGGGTCAATTGAGGGCGGCAAAGGGAAAGGGTCGAATTGGCCTCAGGTCGATTGTAATCCTCCAAGCGTGCTGTTTACTCTGAGATCTAACCGGGAAGCCGAAGCGTTTCTTTGCCTGGGGCCTCTAAGGATGAGGATGGGGGCGGGGGTGGGAGTGGGCGTGGGGGTGGCAGGAAGCAGCCGGGGGCCGTCCCGAAGGGAAATTATTTTTAAAGAGCGGTTGTAAACCGCAGGCAAGACGTTGTAGACCACTGGTGCAAGCAGGCCCCGTGACCCGGTCTCCCCAAGGGCCTAAGTGGACGCTGCTGTCAAAAAAAAATCATCTCAGACCTTCTCCATCTCCTTCCTCCCTCTCCTCCCCTCACCCCAAAAGAGGATATAGTCAGTCTCAAGAAAACTACACATGAAAAGCTTAAATGATAAGGGACACACAGAGAACGTTCTAGGGAATGAATGCAGGGTGGGTTGAGTATTCTATTTCTACTCTTTGTTGACCTTTCTTCTCTGAACAATGCGGAGATGTCACTGTCACTTTTCTCATGTGTCCAGAACTGTGCCCCCTGCCTCTAAGAGGGCAGGCTTAATTTTTAAAACCGCTTTCAGTGGAATTTTCAAATGCACAGTAAGGAATAATTTCATTCACATTAAAGCTTTCTAAGAATGAAAATTACCGATACAGCAACACCACAGTCTTTGGCAGATGGAAGATGGCTTTACTTCTTCCTGTTTTTCAGTGTAATTCCACTCAAGTATTTATTGGGCGCACACTCTGCCACGCTGTGCCAGGCTCTGCGATGGGTTCAAAATAAAAACAGGGCCCCTGATTTCAAACCATTTATAACCTGGCTTGTGAGACAGACTAAAAAGGAGCCAACGATCACCAAAATGAGAACTTGAAGGCATGAAATGCCACCAAAGAGTTGTGATGAGAGCTTTTTTAAAGATGGAAACAGTATTACTGTTTTTTGAAGAGGTGTTTTTGTGAACTTCCAACTGTGCATTTCCTCTCAAGGGAAAACAAAAATGTCCCGGGTCACATCTTTAAACTGCGTTCTGAGTCTAGAGGTGGAGAACTCTGAAACATGGAAATAATTTAAACACAGTTTTTTTAAATTAGCTCTCTGATGGCCATGTAACTTTGCCATACGAGGGACTTCAGAACAGTGAAGTCTTTCTTTACCTTGAACTTGGGGTGCAAACTTTTCTGAACCTGACCAAGTACCGATAGCCTTGTTATTTAACTTCCCTGAGCCTCAGTTTCGTGCTTGTTAAAATGATCTTGTGTTCTTACTGTGAGTTCGCATCTCCAAGTACACATGTATTTTGTTTGAAAAGGGGTCAATGTTAAAGGCAATGAGTTTTTTTTATGAAGAGTATTAGGTAGAAGCTAAGCTATAAAATATATAGCTGTCTCCTTTTTTAAACTTAAGTTTTCGAAGCTCTTTATCTTCAGTTTTTTGTTGTTATTGTTTTTAGAGACAGAGTCTTGCTCTGTCACCCAGGTGGGAGTGCAGTGGCACAATCTTGGCTCACTGCACCCTCCGCCTCCCAGGTTCAAGCGATTCTCCTGCCTCAGCCTACCAGGTAGCTGGGATTACAGGCGCCCGCCACCATGTCCAGCTAATTTTTGTGCTTTTACTAGAGAC